GGTTTGGGATGTAAGGGTTTAGGGTGTGGGGTTTAAGGTTTACAGGGTGTAGGGTTCGGGTCTAGGATTTAAGGTTTAGGAGCTAGGGCTTATAGGGTTTAGGGTTTATAGGGTTTGGGGTTCAGGGTTGAGGGTTTAGGAGCTAGGGTTTCTAGGGGTCTAGGGCCTAGGGTTTGCAGGGTTGAGGGCTTCCGTCTCCCATGCAGTTCTTCGTTTAGAATGATGTGGGCCCCTGGCCAATGAACGAGTTAGGACTTATAGTCGGGATCCTAATAAGACGGCCCTTACAGAAGGCGGGGTTATCAACCAGGGTCTACATTGCACCTAAACCCCTAAACCCCCCCCAAACCCCAATGGGTTCGGTGGTTCAGATCGATATTTGGTAGGGGCTGAGGAGTTTTGAGCTCCAGACTCAGGCCAAAAAAGAGGGCTGACAGGGCTCATTACTTTGTTCCAGAAACCCTATAAACACTAATTAGACCTTATACGCTATAGGTTCTAAACCACAACCCCTAAGCCGTTTCCAGTCTGCGTTGTACCTGAAGCGGTTTCCAGAGAAGAGCTTTGCTTGTTGACTCCCCGACCCCTACCCTTTGCACCAGCGCTAACTTCCCAGCCTCATGGTCTGGAGGCAGGACATGCATACAAGATCTGGATTTGCTTTTTGCAAGAGCAAGACGGATCCCCAGGTCAAGGATGAACGGGGCTCTTGGTTGGTTGAGGGTTCGGGTTTAGGGTTCATAGGGCTTATAAGGCCTAGGGTTTAGGGTTAAGGGCTAACCAGGTCTAGGGGTTGAGTTTTATAAGGTCAGGGGTTTTCGGGGGTTTGGCCTGAACAGGCTCGGTGAGGTTTAGGGTCTAGGGTTTAGGGAAATTCTAAGTTTCACCACACGCCCAGACTCAGTCCTTCTGATTGTTGGGATGGTATGTCGAAACTTGCTGCATCCCCCAGCAACACGTCCCCAGATTTGGGGCTCAGGATTGAGGATCTCGGGTTTAAGATTTAGGGGGTTGGATTTTGGATTTAGGGCCCTAAACCCTTAACCCCTCACCCTAGACACCTGGAGACCGCAAGTGCTTGTTGACTTGCCTGCCGCGCCGGAAGGGTTCAGCAGCTACTGGATCGTGCGGCATGAGGCTCCGCCTGCTTTCAGAGCCTAATGACTTTAGGAATCAGGGTTTGGAGTTTAGGTCAGGGTTTAGGGTTTAGGGTGTAGGCTAGGGTTTAGGGTACGAATGACATACCTTGAAACATACCTTAGATCTTTCGATCTTTAGCTGCGCTTCTCTGGACCCTACATGCAGTACCTTCCTGAACCCGTTTCAGGCCAGAAAACGACTGTCCTGCGTTATGTGCATTCTTGCCACAGCTTGCACGACCCGCATACTTGTACTCGGCCCTGCCTGGTCCTTGCGCTATGGGCAGCCGCAAGGTGGTGGCGCCGGAGCGCGCGCGGCCGACGGAGATCCCGCAGCGCATCGTGGATCCCACCAGGGTCACAGATATCTTCCTCGACTTTGACGGGACGCTCACGGCCTCCAACCAAGCCGGGGTGGCCGGCTACGTACTACCCCTCCTGGAGCCCTGCCGCCACCTTCGCATCTCTGATGCCCTGGAAAACGGTGGCACCTTGACTTGGGGGGACTTGGATCTGCACATGGCTGCGGCAACTGCAGAGGCGGTTCTGGACTTCTCCGACAGCTCCATGCTGGGCAGCCGGGAGGTGCGAAGGCAGTTGCAAGGCTCATTGGAGACCTTGGTGTCACAGGGTTTGCGCCTCCACGTGCTGACCATGGGAACGCCTCAGACGTGCAAGGCGCTGCTGGCTGCGGGTGGCTACGACGTGGCGCTTTTCAGCAGCTTTCTAGGTCCCACTGAGATGGCTAGAAACCAAGGGCTGCGGCATCTCTTTGCCAGCGAGAACGGGAGTTTCCAGTTCGATGTTCAGGAAGACATTGATGCCCTGCATCATTTGCAGAGGACCGGAGAGCAGAATGAGATCCTGCAGCGCATCATGAGCATGGAGAAGCAGTTGTCCAAGGCGGATCTCATCCTCTCTTTGGCCGGACAGGGTGGTGTGCTTGTGGATGACAACTATGGGAAGAACATCTTTGATGCTAGGGCCAAAGATGTGATGTACATCCATGTGGACCCTGAAGGGGTCGTGAATACGAGTGCAGCCATCAAGGATTTGGCCGAACTGATTGCAGGCAAGACAGACGTCGGAGTTACCTCCAGCCATGAGCCTTGCTCTGTGGGAGTGAAGGTTGTGTAGCGCTCATAACTCACGCCTTTCATGATGCCCATGATCCGAGATGTGGCCACAAGGTCCTGTAGGGTTGCCGGTTCGCTGACAAAGACAGGTTGCACCACCGCACTGCATAGCACATTGTACGTTCGTAATGGTTTTGCTTTCCGCCCGCAAGCCGTAGGGCAGATTTCCCGTGGGGCATCTTCTCCTAGCTGTTAAGGATGCAGCTGCTAATGTCCTCAACCCCAAAGACATTCGTTTGGGCTCCGCCGTAGTTCTTGTCCGCCTTGTGGAACCCTTTAGAAGCCTGGCGCCCATGCGAGGTCGAAAGGCTAGAGGTGCTGGACCACATCAGTGAGGTGTCGCCGGTGCCGAATGAGGCTGGAGGGTTCCAAGACTCAACATTCGCTCGCTGAGCTTACCTGATGCAGCTTTCAGGGTGTCATTCTCCGCGAGCACTGTGTGCTCCTTGCAGGGGTATCGGTGGCAATGTTTTGAGTAAGGGCGTTGCCTTCAAAAGTGTTGAATTGCATGTAGCTTGGAACTTGTTTTTTTCCAATTTCCCGAGGGTCCAAGTACCCGAATATCATATGCCTTCCCAAAACCTGCGCGTACAATGAGTTCTACCTGGATCAGGTCCCGCGATGTTCCAACTTGAACGGACATGTGGGGATCGTCTTAAATTACTGTCAATATGGGGTCCTATATTTAGGTTCCTATTATAATACGGGGCCCAATATAGATGTCCCCCATTTTGGGAACAGCAATTTAGGGAAACTTTGATGTGCTTTCGGCTAGGCAGAAGCGGGCTGAGGGCCGCAGGCTGAGCAATGTTACACGCTGATTGGGATCGAATGTAAGGGCAGAAGTAATGTTATGGGTAGTCTGCATCTAGCCGTTAAAAGTAGAGTAGCAATGATTTGTTCCAAAGATATCAGGCTCATACGAATACGACTATAACCTTTATATATCCCACTATATAACCCCTAATATAGCCCTCATATATATCCCAATATATTATATAACCCCTACATGCCTGTATAGGTGAGCTTCAGGGAGCAGCCGAGGCTAGACGTTGAACATGGAGTATGGCACTGACTCTCCTCTGCGCAGGCTTCGGAAACGCAGGTTGAGGGATGCCGGTTCCCTGTCAGGAGATTCTAGCGTTCTATGTAGGGTTCATGGGGATATATGGGGATTGGGGTTTCGAGTGTAGGGTTGGGGTTTGGCAATTTGGTCGTGCAGCACAGCTCCAGTTGGCTGCATCGCGCTAGAACATGCTGGCCCTTTATTGCGGCCAGTCTCTGTAGGTGCTATACCCGGACCCTCCTAGGTAGTTCCTTTCTGGGTGGTATAGTAGTCTCCTTTCTCAGGACCAAAACCGACCAAACAGGAACTACAGGGTTTACGGCTTAGGGGTTTAGGGTTTAAGGATTAGGGTTTAGGGTGTAGGCCTCAGGGTCTAGGTAGAGATCAGGCTCTAGTGTTTGGTTTTGAAGACGTGCGAGGCAATGCGTAGAACCAGTCACAGTTCACTAGATGGTCTTGGGAGGAAAAGGGTAGGTCAGGCGCACAAAAGCATCAATCCTGGAGAATCAACTGGGAAATGTAATGGAAGCTACTAATTATACAGGGTTATATCGTGTTAGTAATATCTGGTAGTTTCCCAAAATAAGGGGACCTATAAACCCTATAATCCCTATAGTTTCCATTTTATTTTCCATTATCCCAATAATAGTCCCCTATAGAATCCCATAGAACCCCTATATATATATATATATAGGGTTTATCTTTGGGTTTGGGGAGTACACACGGCTCGCCTTGGCTTTCACATACTCACTCCCGCTTTGCCAGCTGAGCTTATACCATTTTGTCGCTTCCCAGTTGATCATAGCTGGCTTGCCCTACACCCTAAACCTTAGAACCCAAAACCCTAAGACTCTGAACCCTAAAACCCTAAATCCTAAACACCCTAAAACCCAAAACCCTACATGCCTTCTAGAATTTCATGTTCGGAAGTTGCATTTCACGTGGCAGCAGCACGTTCAGGCTTCTTGCCCACCAGGATCTAATTAGATAGCTTTCATGCAGTTTATGACTTACGCACGGCAGGTTGCCCTTAACCCGAAACCCTAAATCCGAATTTCAGGTTCCTTCTTGACATCTTAAAACCCTTATATACCCCTACATGATCCCTATATAACCACCCTTTTTTTACTCCCAAGCCCATGAGGGTTTTGTTGTTGGAAAACACTTCAGAAGGGGATACATGGAATATATATATATACAGGGGTTATATAGGGATATATACGGATCATGTAGGGGGTACACATCCCACACTTTCCAACTTAGAAATTTGGATGGGCAGGTGCAGGCAGAGGTGCAGAAGCGGGCTCGAGGACGCCAGCTCAGCACTTGTCATGCTTATTGTAGTTTAGGGTTTAGGGTTTTGATGCTGGTCATGATGAGGATGTCAGAACAGGATTGCCATCATAGCGCAGACGTATGCGTATCAGTAGCAATGACAGCAGTCATGTGCCTTATGGGAACAGCTGTCTACAGCTCTGGCAGTTGGCAAGAGCTCTTTGCAGCAGCACATGTTGGCCACGGGGCGGGCACCCTAAACCCTAAACCCTAAACCCTAAACCCACCCTAAACCCTCAACCCTAATCCTTATGGGAACCGCTGTTTCCATTGTGAAAGCTTAGGCTTGGAGGTCGGGTCTAGAGATGGACCAGGCGGAGCGTAGATTGTGGGTGCTGCAGCTATTAAGGGATTATATAGGGATAATGGAAAAGAAAATGAAAACTATACGATATTTTAAAAGAGGATGTGAATACTTTGTAAAATCATCGTTTTGCTCACATGCCGTCAGTGACATGAGACCTCTTGCCGCTCTCGCACAACTCTTCCTGGGTGACAACTCCGTCCCAAATATGCAAGCGGAGCGCTTGCGCACACTGCTACTGGCACCCGCAGCCCCGATCGTCAGCACCATCATCGTAGTAACGCTTGAAACGTCGTCATGGTCATGTCAAGATCTTTTTGCATCGTAGCACAATGTTTGCAATGTGTATTATATATATATATAACATATGTAGGCAGTAAAATAAAGCAGTCGGAACAGATGAGCCCAGAGAGCCCAATGACTTGCCAACAACCTCCAGTATTAGATAATTCGATACTTGGGGCTTTGGTACGGGTAATTTCAGCATGGGCTTTGGGAAAGTAAAGGAGAGTAGGTACTTGGACCCTTAGCGTAGGTTTGACATCATAAACAGAAGACCTATACATAGTTCAAGGTATATTCCTTCTGGATGAAGTGCATAGATGGGAGATGCTTCAAGATAACCTTTGCAGAAGCCCTAGTAAGCTGCTCACAATCCCTCTACGTACGCATACATGTGGACATGATATGTATCTATGTTTAGGAATACATATTAGCGGTAGTCTAAACACCTTGAAAGGGGAGTATAGCGGGGATTATATAGGGGGACAACTAGAGGGCCTATGAAAGGGGATACTAGGAATTGAGACAACCTGGGCCCCAAAAACAGGTAAAATAATAGCCCACAACACCTGAATATAGCCCAAAAGGCCATGATTCTACATAGCTTTAGGGTTCAGCTATAGCTCATCTATATATATATATATATTTTTATTTATATACATATATACATACCGCCTCCAAGGATCCTTAAGGGACCCACCCCCCAGTTTGAGAAACTTCCATATGGGGCCCTCTGAGAAGTTCTGAGCCCTAGGTTGTGGGTTTAGGGTTGAGGGTTTAGGGTTTAGGGCTGAGGGTGTGGGGTATATCAAAGCAGTTTCCATTTCATCGTCCATGTTGTTTTCCATTTGATTCTCCATTTTTGATATACCCATATTTTCCCAAACCCTAACCCCTGAACCATATATATATATATACATATTCATACATATATATACACATATGTATATGTATATATATAAATATATATGTGTATAGACCCATGCAACTTGGAGAGCAAGGTGAGTTGCAGCATTCGCAATGTTAGGCCCCAGGTTCTCTCGCAAACCAAGTTAAGGATTGAAGGTTTAGGGTTTACCTGTAACCCCAACTACCTAGATTTCGGAAGTGATTTCCCTTAAGAGTAATAGGCATAACCCGTAAAACTGTAGGTAAATGGGGTTGCAGGTAGAGTTCCTGCCAAAGCAGCGCAATGGCCGCTCTTTCCGTGACGAACGACCTGCAAACACCTATCGAAGTGAAACTTCAGAGTCAGAGCGACGAATGGAAGGTCGTCTATCCCAAAACGTCCTGCAATGTCGGAGCGTTGGATGGAGTGGTGACCTCAGTCGAAGTCCGATGGCGAGAAAGGCCGGAGGTGACGGGCAGTTGCCAGGCTGCCAGCGGCTCCTCGTTACAGGCCTCTTTGAACTTTGGCCCCTTTAGCCAAGAGTCCAAAGGTCGGGATCGAGCTGAAGCCAGGGAGCTGGCCCGCGAACGAAAGCGCCGGGAAGACGCCCAGACGCGCATGGACACGATGATCCAGCTTGTTGCCACGAAGAAGCGGGATGCAGCTGGATTTAATCTTGCGTCCGGCGCTTACTGTGTAATAGGTGCATTCTGCATCATGCCTCCGCTGGCCCTCCTGGCTCTGTGCGCAGCCATCCCACCCGAAAATGCCGACGAAGCCGCGCTGTTGGCCAGCGCCACGGTGCCGTTGTGCTGCTGCCTCAGTTTTTGCAGTGTTCTTGGCGGTTTAAAAAGAGCACGAGATGACTTTCGTCTTGGAAGATATGCGGACCACTGCCGCATTGGTTTCCACCTGTTGGGGCTCCTCTCGCTGGCCTTGCTGACAGCTATGACTGCCCAACATGCGCTGCAAGGCTTCGGGTGGACCGCGGCCATCCTTTGGCCCGTGCCCATTTTTTTGGGCGGCGGATGCTCTTGTCTTTTGTACTTCAACAACCCAGCAAGACAAGAGCTGGACGATGAAAGCGTGTTAACCCGGGACCGAGAGCTTCGAGAAGCCCGAGTGGAGGTGAGCTATAGTCTAAACTCCTAGTATCCACCCATAAAAACCACTATTTAAAATACTCCCGCTATAATTCTATTATTCCCTTCTATACACCCCTTTATAAAGAGTTTACATCCTAAACCTTAACCCCTAAACCCTAAACCTTACACCCTGAACCTAAATCCTATAATCCTTATACGTTTAGATTATCGCTCAGGTGAGCAACCGAACCATCCGCTTCGAAGGGAGCGTCATCCGCGAACGCGGGCGGCCCTGCGTGGCCAGCTGGCCTGGGAAGTACCCGGGTTGCTGTTAAGGAACTTATATAATAGGGTTTTGGGATCATAGGGGCTAGGGTTTATAGGGTTAAGGGTTTAGGGCTTAGGGTTTAGGAGTACCCGGATTGCTATTAAGCAACTGGATGTAAGTTACCAATAATTATGGGTATATAGGATTTAATAAGCTCTGAAGTTACCGTATGATGGGTATATTGGATTTAGGGTTGGTGTAAGTTACCATATTATGCGTATATACTATACAAAAAGGGCTTCCTTGTTATAGCAACTGAATTTCAGTTCCTTAACAGCAACCCAGGTACGCAGGCGCCTGGGAGTCCCTGGTGTCCCAGGGACAGAAGGGCGAGGTAAGTGCAGCCGTCGTCTTCCTGCCGCACGGCACAGACGACTACGGAAAGTGCGATCGCATCCTCGAGACTGAAGGCTTGCCAGGCACCTGCTGCTGGGTTGCTATCAAGGAGCTAAATTTAAGTTACTAGATTGGGGTATAGACATGGGTTTAGGGTTTAGGAACTTAACTTAAGTTACTATATTGGGGAGACCCCCATTATTTACTATGTATACCCATTATGGTGATTTACGTTTCTTAACAGCAGCCCAGGCTGGTGCACGCCACTCTATGGGGAACAGAAGCCGTGGGGTTGCCACTGGTTTACCAAATGGAGGGAGAACATTGAAGCGGCTGTGGAATCGGGAGCAGAGTTGGAGGTCTACTATTTCCAGAACCACGTGGGCAAAGGCAAGGTGGATAGCTTTGACACCGCAGGCGACGACAACCTGGAGAGGGAGAGGTTGAACCGCAAGCAGGAAGAGTTTGAGAAGTCCCCCCAGTTCAGGCAGGCGATGGACGCAGGCCTCGGCAACCTCTCCGAGCAGCCGCGCGGCGACGGATCCTCCCAGTACAGCCGTGAAGCCCGGCGTTTGTTCCTCGCTTCCCTCCCAGAGGCAGAGCGTCAGTTTCTAGCAGCCTCAGAGGGGCTCGGGAATTCCCAGAAAGCGGAAGTCGCCTGGCTGGAAAAGAAGGGCTACGCATACTGGGAGGTAGACGTCTCCACGTGGCTCCCGGGAGAGGGAGTTGAGCGATATGTCCCGGCATCTGCCAAAGGGCAACTTCAAGGGCGCGGTCATTTCACGAATCCCAATCTCGATCGTGAAATTGTGGAGGATTTGCACCCTCACACTCTTGGTGTTGGTTGACGACAATGGGAACGCAGGCCTAATATTGGAGCAGGCGGAACTCAGGTCCTATTGCGACTGTAGTGGATGCCGACGTGCAGCAAATGGTATGTTGGCTTGGGGGCCTTCACATGCATTTTCAGCTGTAACACGCTGTACTTGAACAGAACAAGTATAATGCTTCCTGTTTCGCCCAGCGTTATGATTGCAGTGCGCGTGGATGCACCACGTGCCGCAGATCCCGGCTTGTACGTTCTGAGGCAGCTTTGACGGCTGGTGTGTGATTTGACATCAGCAAACAGAATTCCTGCAAACCTACTGTGCCGATCCAAACAAGGCATGTGGCGCAAAGCATCGATGTTTTGAGGTTTATAGTAGGTTCTCGATGTTTGGAGTTTGTTTTTGAGGTCAGGGGGCTTCAGAGTTTCGATTCCGACTTAGTCAAGGTTCAGCTTTTGCCTTGATCCTGTAGTGTTTTGCCAAGCTCGGTGTTTGCGGCTGTGCGCGAAAGAGGGTGTTACCAGAAAGCAGGGTTTGGCTTTCCTCTGCATTCATTTACGATTTTTGGAGTCAGGATGTATGGATGTAGGATTCGGGGGGACGGAACGGAGAATCGATTTGAAGATGAAATGGATGCTGGGCTTGTACGGGGATTACTGGTGTAACAGCCTACCTGATGCAATCCCTCAACCGGAAGCCTTAGACCCTAAACCCTACAAATCACCAATATAATTCCGTATATCACTCCCTTCAAGGCTCTGAGATTAAAGGTCATAATATTCCATTCTTTCATCCTGCTAGCCACCAGGAGACAAGCTCCAAGGTACCAGTCAGGTTCTGGGGCTTACGGATTTTGTGTTTTGAGTTGAATTCTGTGTGAAGCTTCTACATATCTGGATCAGAGGTGCCGCGGTTTAGGGTTTAGGGGTACCTCCATATGAAACCTCTAAGGGGGATTTCAAGAATGCCTTTGCAATCCCCGAAGAAACCCCAAAGTCTTTGTAGATTGATAGTTCCGCTCAAGTAGATGAATATGGGGTATATGGGGATCCTATTATAATGTACTTGAACTTAAGGCGGACTATAATCATTCTTGGCGAATAGTGGCCAGGTTGCAGCTTTCGATTCTGTTTACCTGTCCTTTATTGTTCCATTTGAGCTATAGTTTAAACTAGTATCCACCTGAGTAACCCCTATGCCTATAATACTGGCCTATATATCCCCTATATAACCCCTTTTAGGAGATGAGACTACAGCTCATGTAGTTGATATTTAATGCTTGCTAGGGACTGGGCCGCTGTGTACAGCTGTCTGAAAATTGCCAACTTCGAGACAATTCCATGAAAACCCCTTCACATATCGATAGCTTAAACGCCCCAAAATCCTCTTCAAATATATACGTTCCTACATCATGCATCAGAACAGGAGTTCTATTTCATCCTGCCACGGACGAAGATTAGCGTCCTGGACGCTTATGGAGCTTTGCCTGCCAGGTATTGGTGCACAAGAAAGCGGACCCAGCTGTTGTCCCGCATGCTTGACATCTTTTAGGCTTGGGCTGGGAGCCGCAACAGAGTAGCAGCTGCAAATGTCATGATGCTCAAGCAGCGGTCATGCAACGCATCTAGGAAGTCTGACTGCAGTTCATATGAGGGGGCTTGTCGAAGTTCTGGTCGGGCTCTCCAATCAAAATTGGGACCCAATATTTCAATATTTCCCTGCTGAATCCGGTTTGGTTTCACATGGGACGGCGGTCTGACAACTGGAATAGGTATGTTCTTCACAAGAATCCTTCGCGGAAGGTTAGCAACATCTTTAGTCTTAGGCCGACGCCCCCACCTGGACAAACCAGCACTGTCAGCAAACGGTCCTGGTCAGAACTTCTACCGCGCGGAGAAGAACGCAGCCTTGTGCAAGGCGCGTGCTCTGCAGTGCATGTCCTGCACGAGCATGAATTAGTAATTTCGGGAGTATGTGAGACACAAAGCAGACAGATTCACTTGTACTGCAGTGCCAGCGGCGCATTCTAACCCCTACACGCTAATAAACCATGGAAGCTATAGCTAGCTTACGCCATTATCCCCATATAACCCCAACATACTATATGGTAGTTTCCATGTTCTTTTCTTGGGTCTGGGTTACCCAGGTTGTGTCCCGCAAGAGCCTAGGTGACCTCAGCGGCGACATTGCCCGATGCACAGAAATCTCAGGCCTGGCTGCCAGCTTCGGATCTTGGGCTAGGGTTTACGGGTTTCGGGTTTAGGGATCATAGGATTTAGGGTTTCGGGGCAGTGATTTGGAATTTTGAGCTTGGATCTGCTAATCCTGAACCTCGAGGGTTGTCTACAGTACTGGCTCATCTGAGAGGTATGTACCTGAACCCCAAAAGTAAGTAGAATAATAGCCTTTTGGTGCTATTTCTATGGGTTTTGGGCTAGTGTTTTACCTACTTTTGGGGTTCAGGTAGGTCTTTAGGGTTCGTTGAGTAGTTCGCTGAGATTTTACAACGGACACCTGCTGGTGCATGAGCCATTTTCAACATGAACCCTAAATCTGAACCGGGGGTGAACCCTAAACCCTAAACCCTAAGCCCTAAACCCTAAACCGTGTGATGGGTGGGCAGAAGGTTCCTTGGGGGCCATTCCAGGCCCCTTGCACACCATAACCAGATGTGGGAGCCTAAGAGTAGAGATCCTCAAAATTGGATATCAGTAATACCAGTCCCTAAACCCTAAACCCTAAACCCTAGTACTTATAGTAGTAATGGGGCGCAGGATAGTAGGATAGTCAGGATCCCCATATGAACACAAGGATGGGCGTTCTGCTCTTGTATGGGATCTGAGGCGGCACCTATGGACCATGACTTGACGCGCTGTCCGAATCATGGTCCTGTTTTGTGTTCTTATGTAATGGACTCTATTTTTGTGCTTGGGGGGAGGGTTGAGTTACTTCTCTTGCTTTTTGCTGTGAGATCTCTGTGCAATGCTATGCTTTTGTGGTAGCAGCTCTGGCTGGACTTGCTTGTGAGGTTGCTGTCGGGAATGGCGAGGGGCTTCATTTGGTAGGTCAAGAGTTCCTCCACGGGGTTCTGTCCCAGAGTGAGGCTCGGTGTCACAGATTTTGCATCGCAGCATTTTAGAAAAAGTGTCAGGGCATCAGCGGGTCAATCCTGCAGCGCCTGCAAGATGTTGTGGCTATCATGATTAGTGCGTCCGGCTAGTAGCAGAGACTTCTCCTGCCCAGAGAGGCATCGCCTAATGACAATCTTCTGTCAGTGTCTCTGGACGTGTCTTGCTATCTATCATCTTGGAGGCGACTTATAGGACCCCTAAACCCTAAACCTGAAACCGCGTACATCAGTGCCCAGCAAAATGTCAAATGCACGGCAATCCAGTGGCACGGTCTAGCGAGCTGAGGTGCAGGCACTCAAAATTGTGCACATTCCTATAGGTTTTAGGGTTTAGGGTTACAAGCAATCTACACTGCCAAACCCCGCGATTAGCAGAGTAGTGGTGCTCTTGTTGTTCCCATGGACAGTTGCCATTCAAGGGGATTTAGGTTGGATCCTAGTATTTTGGGAGCCCGTGCGAGGGACTGGTCACTATAGTACCTATGTATGGGATAGACTTGAGCTACATACGGATGTCAGTTTTGAAGTCCGACGTTTGGGTAACGTCGCATGTTTGCTTTCGTGCGTCCCGCAATTTTGGAATTCGAACGGACAGGTGCAGGCAGCTATGCAGAAGCTGGTTGAGCCGCTGGCTGAGCACGTGTGCACGCTAATGGGGCTCAGAGCAAATCATAACAGTATTTCTGCAACATGTGGGGCCTCTTGCTGAGACCTTAGGACATGATATGAGTCGCGGTCAAAATTGCCGTTTATTTCATTTAGTCTAGGCGGTAGTTGCTGCGCAAAATCCCCAAGATCGATAGGGGACGTTCTAAAACTATAGGCTTAATTCATTTAAGCCAGGGTTGAGAGAAGATCCCCCAAACGTGGAAATCGATAGGGGACGAACCAGTAGAGGCCAAGCAAGTAATTTTGATGCCACCTCATATAAGGGCGACCATGGGGGTCCTTTTGAGTGGCTCTACAGTGATCACGTCCGGGAAAGTCCCATAAGAAAGATGATGTGAGAGCGGAACGACCGTCATTGGTCATGTCTTCATAAGAATAGCCAAAGACATCAGCTTTTGACGAGCATGCATGATCCAGCTCACGCATACCGATATGCTTCAGAGAGCAGCTGAGGCTGGAAACTGATCATGGGACACAATACCAATGCGTCTTTGTGCAAGCCTCGGAACCTTGGAGTCTTTGCAGCAAAAGCTACGGCTAGCAGCAGTGCAGTCAGGCGGTCGCTGTAGATCTTGAGAAGCTGAGGCTTGGCGGTCTGGTTGTGAAGCTGGGCGAGGCACCGCGAAGAGTCGTAGAGTTCACGTGTAGCTGTGGCAGACTTGTACTGGCTAACTTCTGTTCAGATGTATTCAGCGAGATGCGACTTTCATCCCCGCTCCCTAGTTTTGTAAACCTGCAGCCTGTTTGCACCAGGCTTGAAACTGATCCTGCGGTCATCAGGTCCTAGAGCAGCTCCCGTCGGCTTGAGCTGCCCACTTCAGAGGAACCTTTTGAAATTCTGGCGTGCAAGATCTGTGGCGGAAAAGATGCAACGGTTCGTGCCTGCCATATTTGCTTGGCGTCCTTGCGAAGTTTGCTGACGGGTTGAGGGGCCCTACAGTTGCGCACGGCTGGGAAGCTTTGGGCTCCAGAAATTCCGTTCGCATTCAGCCTTCGCTTGCGCCATGCAGCGGCGACGCCCTGGGGGGTTAAATCCAACCCTGTTGGATGGCTCGCCGCGCAACGCGGCCGGAGAGTATGCGGCCTGCATGGGCCTGGCGGACGGCGCGGATGCGCAGGCGGCCATGCACGCCGATGGGGTGGCCTGGAAGGAGAGGGGGAACTTGGGCATGCTGTGAACGCTTGCGGTGCCTATATAGTTGCATGTTGGACTCGCCCACTGTTAGGAGTCCGAAAAGGCGCTCCGCGCAGAGCCGGAGCCAGAACCCACTGTGCTGGAATGGCTCGCGGAGTGGCTCTTTTGCTGCTGCAGCAAACGAGAGGGCCACTGAGTGCCCCAGCAGCGTCAGCCAGAGGGAGTATGAGCGTCAGCTTGCTGTGGGGCTCAGCCTTTGCGGCTTAATGCGAGGCATGGGCTGTGGCCTGGGCAGCTTCGGGTGGGGGTCCTGGACTTCTCGACGCTTTGTTTCGACATGCTCGGACGTATTCTTGCTCCGCAAGGTGGCTACCCAACCCGAAAACTCCTTCAGGCAGGTCCTGCAAAATGGTCTAGGTTCTCTCAGCCAGATGCAGCATGGGTCTACTATCTGGCAAGTTTCGTTCGAGTATGTTTTCTTCGCGTCAGGAGCCAGCCTCTGACATTTCCAGAATGGGACCATGTTTTGCCAAGCTCAGCATTTTTGCAGCGGTGCGTGCAAGGGTACTTGTTGCCTTATAGAAGACGAGTAGAAGTTCAAATGCTGCAAGCAGATGTTGGTGCTGTTCGCCCGCACGTGTCTAAGCTTGTGGCGTCACCGACTGATCCGCACACGTCAGGGCTAAAGTTATGCTACTATTACTACAATTCAACCCTAACCCTAAATCACTAATATTATTATTACTGTTATGCTTATAACTAACTGCTATTATTTTTATCACTGCCGTTATTATTATTCGTGGGCATGGCACGTTCGCGTGTTCATGGGGCAAAAGTCGGAAGCTTTCGACAGGCCCCAGCCCGACACGGCCGCTGCCACCACCGGGAGCAAAGCTCTCCAGGAGAGCGGAGCTTTCAGATGGCTTGCAGTGACTGTTCTATAGTACAACTAAAATCTACTATCATATCCGTTGATGTATAATATTCTGTAATATAACATGTAATGTACTCCCCAGTGATTTTGCTGGTAGCTTCATTTATAGTTTTGATGTCTAGGTGGCTGCAAGATAGATGGTGCCAAGCGTTCAAAGCCCGGGTGCGATACGCAGCCAAGCCTTCCAAACCTTCACAATCGACAGCAGGCTTTCAGCTTTCCTTAACGGCAGACGATGCTTGGAAGGAGGTGGAGATTGTCAGGAAGACCACCGTTTTCGAGCTGGAAAGCAAGGACCGCCTTTTCTCCATACATTCCGCAGAGATTGTGGCCCCAAACAGCGCTCGAATCTAAGTGAAACGGCCGTAGTGCTCGCGAGAGGTTGCCGACCTTGGCGTCGTTTGCTCCAAATCTGGCACCGAAGCTTCCGTGGCGATTTTCCTGAAGGACGCCCCTATCTCAGCACAA